GCGGGGAATATGATGAGGGAAATAATGGCGACATGACGTGCCACGACGTCAGCCATGCCTGGACGACACTCTGCCCAAAGAGGGCAATAATACCGACGCGATGTGCGCTGACGTCACTCGCTCTCAGACAACGACTTCAGAGGAGAACGACGACCGAGGCACGCCCATACCCTGCGGCAGTTTGGTTCTTCACGCAACGCCAACAGCAATGTCAGACGCCATCAGAGGTACGATCCTGCTCCTGCGGGCAGGCACATCAGGCAATACTGAACTTCCCTATAAATATCCCCGAGTTCTAAACGATGGGGAGGAGAAAAAACAGACAGAAGAACATACCACTTCCCATCACTAACTTGATCGTCAGAGGGGTCGGGCCGAGCTTCCGACCCGACCTGTGTGCAGGTACAAGGACGGGGTTACTTCTTCTCGGCACTGCGGAAAAACTTCCCTCCCAACGCAACGTCCCGATCGGACCACCGTGATCGGCCACCTCAGCGGTCTCAAGGAACGCCGTACAAGATCCCCGCTCATTCAGATCCGAACCAAGCCGTGTTGGCCCCGAGGTCACGGCATAAAGTTGTTTACTACCGCTTCCAACTCCCGTCGCCGCCGCTGGACGGCAGCCCCAACTCAACTCTGGTGGTCTCCGACCTCGAGAAGCTCTCCGTGGTCGGCCACGGCGGTGGCGGCACGGTCTACAAGGTCCGATGTCGCCACACCTCTTCGCCCTCAAGGTCCTCCGCCTCGATAGGAACGCCGTCGACGCCGGGCAGCAGGCGGCTCGCGAGGTCGATATTTTGATGCGAGTCGACTCTCCCTACGTCGTCCAGTGTCACGGCGTGGTTAGGGGCGGTGACGATCGGATTTGCTTGGTCATGGAGTACATGGCCAGCGGTTCGCTCCGGGACTTGCTGCTAGCTCGTCGGAGCTTGCCGGAGGAGGTCATCGCAGTGGTGGCCAGGAGGGTGCTGGAGGGGCTGCGATACCAGCACGGCCTGGGTATCGTGCACCGGGACATCAAGCCGGCGAACCTGTTGGTGAGCGAGCGGGGAGAGGTGCAGATCGCGGACTTCGGGGCGAGCCGGATGGCGCGGGCGCCGGAGGGAGACGAGCCGTGCATGGGCACCTGCGCGTACATGAGCCCCGAGCGGTTCGACTCCGAGGGGTTCGGCGGAGGAGGAGTTGGAGGGGAGTTCGCTGGCGACGTCTGGGGTGTCGGGAAGCGCCCCGAATGGGCCTCGTTGATGTGCATGGTGTGCTTCGACAGCCAGCCGGAGGTGTCGGAGGCCGCGTCGCCAGAGTTCCGGAATTTTGCCCGCAGGTGCCTGGAGAAGGAACCGAGGAAGAGAGGAACGGTGGAGGAGATGCTAAGCCACCCTTTTGTCGCCTACTGCAGCACAACCGAGGAGGGTTTAGTCGATGCAAGTCTTCGTGTTAGAGAGGTGTAAGTGATAAGATTGGCTATCGATTTTGGTGGCTGCAAACTCATCATTATTTCTGCAGCATGAAAGTAGTATAATTTATGGTTTAATTTGCAGTGTTTGTAGCAGTTCATTTAAGATAGTGTGACCTAAAAATGCCATGATTTATGATCACCATAAGAAAACATCAGACATCCATCAATATTTGAGGCATGATAAGATTTTTGTTCAAGCTGGAATCAATCAATAGAGAAGAGGGGACGGGAAGCAAGAAAAGGCCGATCTCTGGAATGCTCAAACACGCACGAGGAATCATAGCAATTGCACACGCATCCACCAAGAAATCGATTCCATGCAGGTCAAAGAGAAAACAAGTAAAAAGTGCAGTTGTTTGGATGTTTGCATGTTCAAACAAAGTGAGAGGGAGTATCGAGATCTGATTTTTACTCACAATTCAGCCTACATATCCAACATTTTATGAAGTCAAACGCTTGCAAAAGATGAACAGCAAAAAGGTTGCACGCAGTCAACTTGCAAGCAACCAAACAGGTCCAACATGAAACATTATGATTTCAACTGATATTTCCAGTGATGCGGTATAATAATGGATTTAGAATTCATTCACAGCTAGATGTCATTTAGTCCATAATCTCAGCTCGATCTGAACCAACAATGACCTTATAAAACCTGTTAACTAATATGGCGGCACCGACGTATTCCGCATACAAGGAAACCTCAACGACGAAGTTTGGTAATTTATTTGGAAAATTAAAGTCAACTCCATTATTGGAATTCGTCTGAGGGTACTTCACCAAGTGAAAACAGAGGTAAAAACATCAAATTTAAAACAAACCAAGTGGTGGTGGAAAGGCAGCACAGATTCAGCCTACGCAATATAAGTCTTACTTCAAGACCCGGCGACCTGCAAAAGGGAAGTAACAAAACATTACTTTTCCAATCTTGTAAAGTATATTTGCTTAGTTGATGAAATAAGATGTCAAATTCATTAGCACCATTACTAGGGAAGATTGCAACATAAATCATATATGTACAATGTGTCAGTAGCACCAGAAGGCAATATGAATACCTGACCATATTGTCTTCAAAGAGGATCATTGTAGATATCCAGGAATACAATACAAAAACACTGTTGTGGTGAGGCTTGATCAAACGAGGAATTATCTTTCTGTCACCTTCAATAATAATATTGAGTCATGCATTGCTAACTATTTTGCAGGAATCACGTGTGGCTACCATGTTTATGTTTCCAATAAAAAATGACCATCATAGACATGCAGGAAAACAAATACAAAAACAGTTTTGTGGTGGAGCTTAATCAAATAAGGAATTATCTCTCTGCAACCTTCGACGCTCAGTGTCATGTATTTCCAACTCTTTTGCAAGAATCACATGCGGCTACACGGTTTTTACTTACAATTAAAGCCTCAAGAACAACAATAACAAAAGTCTTCAATCCTAGTTGACAATAGGATCCTTTTTCAGCATTAAGTAATATATTGAGATGAAGTTCTTTGTTAATCTTAGAGCCACCATGTCATTTCTTACCCTCTGGGCTACCATGACTGGCACACTTTCTTTCAGACTCCCTCTCAACTTGTCACAAACTTACGCTGGTCTCTTTCTTAACATTCTAAAGTGCTACCTCATAATCCAGTGAACACTGCCTTCAAGATTAAAAAAATGTACATGCCTCAATATTCTTATTTCTATCCAACACTTGGATGCATAAAATACTCTTAAAACTTTACAATGCATTATGTGGTGTGCGCTAAATCGAACCAGGGTCGAGACTAATCTAAATGGGCTTAGTCGTTGATTTGGTTCGATCATTCCACACCCCTCTTCCCCTCACACACACAACTGTTGCTCCCCCTTGGAAGACCGAGTCGACGAACTATGCGGCGGCGATTTCCTCTCCATTGGCAAACAATGGTGACGTCTTCCTCTTCATTTGCGAACAGTGCCGATGTCTTCTTCTGACTAGAGGCTTTCTTGTGAGTGCAATCTCCAATGGACTCTTTCTAGGTATCTCTCTCTCCTTCCTCCTTTGTTGTCCCCTTCTCCCTCCTCGGGCATAGCCGCCTCCTCCACTGCAGCACCCCTCTCTTTCCTCCTTCGTCGTTGCCTCCTTTGCCACACCCCTCTCCCTCCTCCCACTTCAGTGCAGCTGGCCTCCTCCCCCTTCCTCCTCCTTCACAACCCCTGATAGCACCCCTCTCTCTCCTTCTTCATCGTTGCCTCCTCCGCCACACCCCTCTCCCTCCTCCTACTTCACTGCAGCCAGCCTCCTCCCCCTTCCTCCTCTTCCACAACCCCCGACAGCACCCCCCTCTCCCTCCTACTCCCTAGACACAACCCCCAACAGCACCCCTCTCCATCTTACTCCACCATAGCTACCTCCTCCTCCTCTGCTGTAGCCCCTGATAGCATCCCTCTCCCTCCTCTACAGTCACCTCCTCTGCCACAACCCCCAACAACACCCCTCTTCCTGCTCTTGCTCCGCCTCCTACCCCCTCCCCTCCTCCACCACAGCCCCCAACAGCTTCGTCCTTTCTCTCTTAGCTCAAGAAACAATTGAACCATGAGACATTAAATGACATCGAGGGTTGGTCTGTTATGTTGCTCTCCTCGACAAAGTAGAGAGAGGAAGAAGTGATGGGGATAATGCTATCCATCACATCAATAGCATTTCCATGGATTTTGGCAACATACAAGACCATCGCATTAGTCTTGAATTGTCTCTCTCAAGTGCTTGAGAGAACATAGTCATGAATTGTACCTTCTCCCTTATGTAGAAGACCAAAGATTAAGTGGAGAGAATACATGCATGCAAAACCCATACAAGCAAATACCTAAAGGCCTACAGTGTTATAGTGGGTGCATTGTCCCAATGAAGCTTAGAGGGAGGGATCAATCAGTAGTGAGGGTAAACACATGCTGCAATTCTTTTTTCCTCAAGCGGAAGTGATCAATGATGGATGATCGTGGCAGTATGTTTGCTAATCTTGTTTAGTTTGCTATCTTTTGTTAGTAATTATAGACAATGTAATTTCAAACCTTACATAAATATAATTTGATGTCTCATTTTTATTTTAATGATCATATTATGATAAATACTTTTAGAATTTTAATATATGAAAGCGCCTCACATCACTCATGTGAACGCCTAGTGCCTCGAGTGTTTTGATGCATTGGCGCCTTTTAGTGTATAGCGCTTTTGACTACACTGCTACGTTATCGTGCTACTATGCAGAAATGACATCTATCAGAAGATTCCCAGATAACATCAATCTAAATTGTAACGCTTTTTAGACCTTTTAGAGTAAATATTTGAAAGGTGAATGTAGGGTGTTTCTATGATCTTTTTTTTTTTTGCTGCACAATCTAAAGAAATACAAGAGCAAATTTAGAAGACTGATTGAAACAATAAATTAAGATATTATTTAAGCCTTTCAATCTCACTAGAACAACTGCAATTGAGTCTTGGAACCATAACATCTGTAGGACCTTTGATCTCTTTTAGCATTAAGAGACACCATTTTATTTACTTTCTACTGAATACTTTGGCTACATCAGAAGTAAAGTTAGAATCATTCTATTTAACCTTAGAGATCTTAGGCATCCATCAAACTCTGCATATGCATTAGATTATTTTCATTCTCAAGTGAACCTGCCACAGTTCACCATATCAGTTATCCCTTAATGTACAAATGACATGAGAAACAAGTACTCAAGTTCATGCCTGATCCTACTGTTAACCATTCATAGAAATTTGCTTTATTCCTCACCAACAAGCAATAAACAATGAACAATGAAGCACATGATAACATTAATAGACATCAGCTTCTATGTGATATTTCTGTGTTATTATAGCCCAATGCTGGCCTGAAGTTGTTATGAAGCAACCTCTGGTCAGTGCAACCTTCCCTTGCAACCCCAACAACATGGACTCATGCAACTGTTGAGTGACACATCTCGCCCACGCTATCATCAGTCACCACTCTGTCACTAGCTCAACCTCTGACCCTTGCATGTGAAGCAACTGTCATCTGAACCTTGGACGATCATTGTTTTAATGGAACCATACAAACACCCATCTAAAACAGCATCATGCCTTGCTTGTCTGTCCCAATCAGATTCAGAAGAGGCCTCCCTATGCAAACAGGGCTCTCATGATCCTATCTAACCAGAACTAGGAGTCGCCCTATTAATTGTACATACATGGACCAAAAGCCTTCTCTCTTCAGACAGGCCAAGTGTGGACAATCTACACAATTGTATCCCTAAAAGACATGTTTGATAAAGGTAATAAGGAGAGCAGCAGCTTAGTGTAATATCAGTTGGTCTTTTACAACTATCAGGCATTATAAATTTATAATGGCCATTATAAAATAAGAGATCTTGTGAACCCCATAATAGGTCATGACTTTTCAGCAAAATTTCCTATATTTTATATTTTCCAGTAATTTTCTACATTAAAACTAGTTTAAATCCATAAAAGAAGATCTTTTACATTTTCTCAAATTGTAGTGTGCTATGCAGATGAATGACTCTCTTAAAAGACCCTTCTGACAATAACATCGTAACATCCTCTTCCTTCTTCAATAATGTGCAAGCATACAACAATGACATGAAAATGACCACTGAGCTCAACCTCTTCATACATAAACATATCATGAGAATGACCAGCAGTCCAGTTAAAGGACAAAGTCTTAGAAACAAATCTTTACTTAAACTCTAAATCTGAACACTTAATAAAATGTTTAGAACATGCCAAAATTTGCTTCAACTATCTATGTCATTCAATGTCCTCTTTTCATTAACAAGACTACAAACAAAATGCATCCACTCTAATAATTACACTCACAAAAAGCTTACTAAGAAAATTAACAAATGTAAGTGAAGATATCAATAATTCATCAAGTTATCTATTTCCAGGATCACAGTGTGAGATTTGGATATTCCAATGAACTAAGAACCATTGAATCTTTTTTGAAGAAGGAAAAAACAAAAGGCCTTCTTCCTATATAAATAGTCTAACCTTGATAGGCACAAATTGGAACATCTAAATTCATAATCCAAGATAACACCATTTTCAGTTTTTTTTCTTCTAATCATATAATTATGGGATGATATGTCATTCCTACTTCTTTCTTTGGCATTGTCTCATATGGGTAACGCACGAGGAAAACAATCAGATATTAAACTGGATTATCTTTCATCTTTATCAAGAAAATAAAGGTTAGTTATCTACAGTTAAGCAGGCTACACCCATAATGAAGTCAATCCTCTTTTTTCCTCTTAAGATGAAGGTGTTTTGACGGAAGAGTAGCAGGAAATCAAATAGTCACAACACAATCAACCCGCCTAACTTGAATCAAGAATAACATAATAAGAAGAAGACAACATAAAGAGTCCAACCCACAAATCGCACAATCCAAATTTCAAGAGAAATTATACTGACCTTGACCAAACAAGCAGCAACCCTAATCGGAATCCTTTTTGGGGCCTAACAAATAAAAACACAAGCTTGTCAGAGAAAACCCCCAAATAAGAGAGAGGGAGACCACACGGGATTCGTAAAGGAAGAGGAGAAAAGGGGAAACGGTACCGTGGAGCTCGTGTGGGCGGTTCTCCTTGCCCCAGCCGACGCCGCGGGTGGCTTCCAGGTACTGCTGGACCAGATGGCGACACTTCTGGAGGTGGTTGACGCCCTCGATGCGGTAGCACCATCGGAGGCGCTCCCTGATGATCTTGGCGGTCTCGATCTGGATAAACTTCTCCCGCACCAAGTACTCCCGGTACTCTAGCATCGCCACCGGATCCCCGTAGGGATTGTTCGGATCGAAGTCGGGAGGGCTCTCATCGAACTCCACCTTCGCCTTCCGCACCATCTCTTCCTTCCTCCGCCCTCGCTCTTCTTTTCTCTTCGCTGTTTTGGATTCCGCCAATCTTCCGCTATCTATTTATTTTGTCGACCTGGACGCCCCTGTTTTCTTGTGGTGTTTCCGAAGAGAGGAAAAACAAAGAACCAAATTGCTTCCTTTCATGCGTTTATCGGAAAGTGATTCGGATTGAGTAGAAAGCCTTACAATAATTGTTGTTTTTGTTTTTTGTTTTCTGTTTTTGTTCATTTGTTTCGTTGGAATGAAACAATTAGTTCCAGGAAAATTGACAAAAACCTTACCGGCCTCTGTTCTTTCCCTGACCTTCTGTGGGTCCCAAAGAAAGACCAATCACGATAAGGGTAGCCTGACCTCAATGTTTCGGTTCACTACCATAAACCATAAATATATCCCCTCAACAACCCTAGAGGATAACACCAGTTCGGACTCGAATTCCAGTACCGATGAGCTCGCCGGCGAGATCGTCGGCGTCGGCGGCGAGCGGGGGGCAAGGCGGCGGCGGTGGCAACGCCGGATTCGGCGACGACGCCTCTCCTTATCACTTCCCGCTTGAATCCGCCTATGATCGCAAGGACGAAGCCCTCGCAGGTGATCGTCCACATCTATTTTCCTTCTGCTCCTTTTGGGTTTCGGTGTTCTTGATGTCTGAATTTAGGGCTTTAAAAGTTTCATTTTGTTTTGCACCCCTTTTAATTTGATTCGTTTTCTGGTGACAAGCATTGAGATCGGAACTGATGGCGGCGCTTCAGAAGGAGGTGAAGTCCTTGGACGACGACGCTTGGAAGTTCGCTGGCCCTCGCTCTCAAATCCATCGTATTTCAAGACCAGGTACTCTTTTTTTCCTCGTCTGCCAACTGATTTCACTCCATTGCTGTCTTTTTTTCTGCCAGTCGATACACCAAAAGGTTTCAGATTTGAATTATGAAAGGGATGGGAGAGGACGAGTATTAATAAAAAACCATAAGAAGTAGCGGTCTTAAGTTTGATTGACAAATGAAGAAGGATTTTTGTCCTACTGATGAGGGTGTTCTGATGCTAAATTCAGAAAATGGACTTGTATTACAGAATTTTTCTTGAGCTACTGCTTTATTTAACCTAAATGATGAGAACTATTGAAGTTGTAGAGCACACAGTCATGTAGAATTGTCAGTAAGGTATATGAGTGGCAGATTAACTTAGTCTAAATGAAACTTGATTCAATGTATAAACATGTTAGACACTGTTGCATTGGTTTTATATATTTGATCTTTTACTTGAACTTGGGAAGGGGATAAGTTGCAAAGTCCTTTACTGAAAGTTTTCTATAGATATCTGCACTTCAAACAGGTGAACATGCCTCATTTTCCTAATGATGCAATTTTAGATCACTTAGAACATCTAGAAATATGGGCTCATTGAGGATATGAGACAAATGATTGTTATGTTAAATATCAGTAGATCTTCTTATGAAGACCATTGAGCTTCAAAGAATTATGAGAGAATGAAAATATTGTTAGCCCTGATGCTTCTTTATGTTGGTGTGACCAATTTACTCTTCATGTGCGGTCAATTACTGGGGCTTTTGTCTTGTGTACAAGATGTGAATTCATCATTGATTTTAGTTCATGACAATCTTTTAATAGTGATAATTAAATATGGAGGAGGCAATGATAGATTGACATGCCTTTTTAATGACCTGCTTCGGTCTGGTAGCCAGAGTGATGCTGTAACACTTTTCTAAAATATACTGAACATTTTTCCTGCTATCATCATTCCAAATCTGACTCTGACATGCCATAATACTTATTGACATCTAGAGATGACAAAGGCAGTATAAGTTTTTCCTTTTCTTTTAATCGTTCTACATCACTGGTATAAATCTAATTAAACATTGCTCTCAGTAGCCAAAATTAACAATTTTTTAAGAATAGTTAATTTTTTACAGAAATATGGTGCCATTTGAAGATGGGCACATCGATATATAGGATTAGATTTTGGGATATGTTACCGCATTTCATGTTTTATAGACAACCAACTAGTTATTGAAACACTTGATGTTTTTGTTTCTGTCATTATGGCATAAAGTTGATACATTAAGATTGGCCTATGTAAACAATTCCAGTGATAACCTATGCACGGTGAAAGACTATGAATATATTAATTCTTGTCTCAGCTTTCGAGTACTCAGTGTAAGTTGGATAGAACCTTTGCTCGCACTGGTAATATAAATTTTTTTCTCCATATTAGTTCCATCTAAAATAGGGTATTTGAAGTGAATATTTACTTGGTTAGAACTGTTGAGTCACAGCACCTAGTCAATGATCCCTATAGAAATATTGCCACAGAAATCTGTGCTTGGGTTGATGTTTGGCTGACTAAGATGTAACAAGTTTTAGGAAGTTCAATGGAGTGGAGGAGGGAGACATCACCTGAGATTATACAAGATTGATTGACGTAGAATAGATTGGTGGAAGGGAGCTAACTCTGATAGAGAAAATGGATGGATGGAGAAATACTTATGGATTTGGTTGAATCCTCAGAAAATTGGTGGGAGGATTTACAGGTATGAAACGAAAGAGATGTTCTTAGTTTGACTACTTGACATGACCTGTACTGATATTAAATTTGTAAAAGATTTTATGAAGATCATGATCTCATGTTTGGTCATTGCCTATCGCTGTTTGAAAGCAAAGGTGAATATTGATATTACACGTTTACAATCAAAAGACAGAAGATCAGTATTTATCTTGTTAGTTATCACAGTTCATCTGCATGCATAAAGAATACTCATAGTTTAGGTTTTGAGCTGATAACTATTCAGTCTATGTTTTTGTAGCATTCTTATAGCAAAGTATTTCTCAACCACGATATTTTACGGTCTCATTCTCCTTCTGCAGCATGATCCACAGTTGTGTATGAATGCTTTGCATAAACATGGAGGATAATGCTGGCATGATTTTACCTTTTTTTTCGGAATGGAAATGAAGACTTGGAAAGAGAACTGCAGACTTTAGAAATAGTATACTTCAGTTGAATGCATTAGTATCAATTAGCATCTGGAACTGAGGAATGTTTTTAGGTCATCATTTTCTCACAATTAAAGCTGAACGACTAGAAAATATTGATGTAGCTGATTGGAATAATTGAAGCACACTATGATTTGTTGTCATTGTTGTTGTCCATAACATTGCTTGATTTGTTATCTACAAAGCATTCTATGCCACTACAAAAGCCATCTTACTCCACTGAAAACTTACTCATGCTCGAATGAACTTAAACATTCATTTCACTGTTTTCAAGTTAATAGATAGCTATATTAATGGCGTTTTAGGTGGGTATCTGCAAAAGCAAGCAGGAAGTCCTGGGGAAGCCAACCAGCTTACCAAGCCAACAAGAAGTGTCCTGAGATAAAACTTCGAGCATTTTGCTGCAGAAAAGTCATCTGGTGATTCCATGCCTTCGGACCAATTTCAAGCCAACTTCTTATATGCTCCAAGTTTCTGTTCCGAGATCTGCTATTCCAATTTCTAACCTTTTGTTCTTTGATTTCGGTGTTGCTAAATCTGCTTTGTTGCTTGAGATCAGAACTCACAAAGACGAACTGGGATCAGGCTAGCAATAGATTATACTATTACCTTAAAGCAAGTACTGTTGCCAAAGATTGATTCTGTAATGCTGCAGTCTGTGATTTCCTTAGTGCTTAAGCTTTGTAAAGCTCAGCCTCGTCCTTTCCGCACCAATGTTTCTGACATCGCGCTTGAAACTTGACGGGTTGTTTGACCCTTCGTGATGAAGAAACCATCGGATGTAGCAATCTCTTTGCATGTGTTTCTGAGAACGTTAACGTCACGACAGAGAAAGAAAGTTTCGATGGCGATTAATCTCAATTATTTAATTCAGAATTAGATATGTACACGTGTCATTTTGTGTATGGTTCTCCACAGCACCGACCTATGGTTACACGCGTCAGCAACGGCGTAACGGAGTCTGACGGCTAAGCGGTGGACTTAACGGATCTCCGTCAGGCCCAAGTCAGAGAAATCCATCAGCTCCGCGACTTCCTCGGCGCACGCCGAATTGCTATAACACCCCCCTCTCTCTCTTTCTCGCCGTCGATAGAAGAATCATCGGAGTCGATAGCCATGTCGGTGAGAACTACTACTATTTTTCTCTTATTGTTTGGTAATCGTGCCGGTATGGTTTCGTCCCTCTTTAATTTTTCGATTTGTGTCCCCTATATGGTTTATCCGGGTGTTTCTGAATCACGATCCGGTTGGTAGATTGGATTTGGGTAGGGGTTTCTCAAAAAACACATGCTGTTTCTTCTCGTCTCTCTTCGATTGTTTATTTAAATGGATGATTAAGATATTGATATGGTAATACTAGGGGTTTGATTATTGGTACAGCGAACTAGGGATTCAAAATTGTAGATAGAAGTTGCGATTAGCTGAAACACCTGTTTGATCATGTTTTGTAGTTTGGCGTTGTCAGGATCAAAGATAGGTTTTTAAGATTAAAGTTGATTTTCTTTTATTTTTATAAATTGGATTGATATAAAAAGCTTTTGCAGTGTACCAGTTAGAATAGATTGTGTAGTTCGCCCATTTCCTGTGTTGTAACCATGCTTTATAGCATAAGATATGATGATACTTGTGTTCTAATGTCATCTGACATGTTTGTATTTCTAAGAGAAAGGGCTTATGGCCTGATACTCTTGCAAAAATGGTTAATATGTCATTTGTTTATTGATTTGCTGAGCTCGGTAGGTTGGCTCTCTGTTAGGCTGTTATTGACTAGTGGTATTTGTTGGCTTACACCTTGTACAAGTTTATTTCATAGAGTTATTATTTGATGTTTTTCCTTATAAAAGCATCCAGGCTTCAGATTCCTTGAATAATAAGTAGGACATGATCTTGTTATTTGTCATTATTTTGTGATGGGAATTAAGAGTTAGAATAGCTCAGGCACAGCTACGGGCAGTCCGTTTGGCCAGAAATATATTATTTTCAGCTTCACTTTTTCCATTTGCTAATACATAATCATCAAGCATAGCTCCTGTAGTCTTTATCTGATGTGTGAACCATTTATTTATAGCTTGATGCAAGTCTCTTTTTACTTATCTAGGAACTAATGAAACTATTGTTACTCCTACCTCCGTTAACCTTCAGGGAGAAAAAAGTAAAGATGAAACTCTTTGAAGTGATGCATGGTCTATTAAGGTGAACTATAGGTATGTGGCATTTATGTAGGGTCCATCACCAAAAAGGTTATATATAGAACATGTAGGAGATTGAACTTTTGACTCAAAAGTATCTACTATTTGAAACATAATTTATCTTGTAAAACTTCCTATCCAGATGTAAACATGCTGTGTTAAGCATAGTTGCTGTTTTGAGGGTAAATTGGGCTATATTGTCCCTTTAGTCAGTCGTGCTCCATATTACTCACAACATCTGTTAACTGAATCATGGAATCTTGTATCAAAATTATGCCTGATAGCCAAAGAATATCCAAACAATAATTTTTGACCTAGTTTTAAACATCTAGATAGTTTCTAAAAGCATGTTTTGGTCATGTAGCAAGCCTCTTGTGGAAGATGTGTGAGAATAGTATAAACAATAGAAGTTGTAGTTGGTACAGAACAATTAGGAAAAGTAATTGTCTGATTAACAATGGAATGTAAATCTTTGGTTAAGGTGTATGTTACCTCATGGAAACATTTCCTTCGTATATTTTTGGTAAACATATATATTCTTTATGTGACTGCTCATAATTGTGTTGAACTTTGGGATGCGCCCTGGTTGATTTTTCAGTGCTTGTTCAATAGACATATATTGAGTTCGATTATTGATTGGCATCTACTTATCTGAAATTAGGAGTAGTAGTTATTTGATTTAGTTCTCACCATGTTTGCCTATGAAGCTGCACTTGTTTGAAGCATCAATATCAGGAACAAGAACATAAAATAGCAAGTTTACAATGATCCATATATATGTAATGTTATATATACACACACACACACACACCTCACCAATGTCGATCCCAAACCTGGATAAAAAAGGAGGGTTGTGTTAGGTCACTAACAACCAACGTAAAACTATGTCAAATCTCATGAATATGGATCTTAACCGATTTTAGTGTAAAGCTAGGTCGTCATCTGAAAGTGACGCGAGACACCTTCACCACCTAGGTGTCCCGAATTACAAATGGTGGGCTAGGAGGTCGCCCGGAAGCAACCCATCACATCGACGCTCGGATGTGGTGCCAAGTAGGTGAGGGTTCTCTTATTGTTCTGGACCAATGAGAGTAAAGAAGTTAGTCCAAAAATAGAGGGTTTGGTTAGCAACTTGGAATATAGGAACATTTTTTGGGAAGGGTTAGAATTGATAGATAAAATGATCAAAAGAAGAATAAATATTATTTGCTTACAAGAGACTAAGTGTGTAGGGGAAAAATCTAGAGGGATTGATAGTATTGGATTTAAATTTTGATATATTGGAAAAGTTAAATACAGAAATGGTGTAGGAATTGTCTTTGATAAGGATCTTAAGAATAATGTTGTAGTTGTAAAAAAATTTGGAGGTAAAATTATAGTTCTAAAATTTATGAAATGACAAGATGTTTTGAATGTCATTAGTGCTTATGCCTCTTAAGTCGGATTGGATGATCAAAATCAAAAAGAGAATTTGGAAAAGCTTAGATGATATCAATTAAGGAATGTCTATAATAAAAAAACTTATGATTGGAGGAGATTTGAATAGTTATGTAGGGAAAACATATGGTGAATATAAAGGGGTGCATGGGGGCTTTGGTTATGGGAAGAGAAATGAATATGATGGTATGATTTTGGATTTTGCAACTTCCTATGATCATATAATTGTAAATACCCACTTTAGGAAGAGAGATGAACATTTAATTACTTATAAGAGTGATCACAAATATAGTCAAATAAATTTTTTTTCTCACTAGAAAGGTAGATAAAGTTATTTGTAATAATTGTAAAGTTATACCTAGCAAAAGTTTGACGAATCAACATTGGTTGATAGTATTAGATATTTACTGTAAAAAAAATGGAAGAATAAAAGATAATAAAAACAATCACTAAGATTAGATGGTGAAATTTTAAAGATGATAATGTAAACACTTTTAAGAATAAGATGGAAGAGGAGATAACTTGGAACTTAGATGAGAATAATATTAATATTATTTGGTCTATGATAGCTAAGAAGATTAGAAACTTAAAGGAGATTTTTGGTGAAACTAAAGGTAGAGGTGTAACCTTAGGAGAGAGTTGGTGGTGGTGCCAAGAAGTTCAAAAAATAATTATTACTAAAGGATCATGTTTTAAAATTGGTAAAATTATAAAAATGAGAAAAATTTTAAAAGATATAAAGAATATAAAACAAAGACAAAAAAAAACGATTAGTATGGCAAGATATAAAGCTTATGATAATTTTTATTATTAAAGATGGTGAAAAAGATATACATCGAATAATTAAAGCTAAATAAAGAAAGTATAAGGATTTAGGTAATATTAGATGCATCAAAGACGAAAATCAAAGAATACATGTTAATGATAACAAAATTAAGGAAAGATGAAAAAATTATTTTTATAAATTATTTAATGAATATTACACATAGAACTTAGATTTAATGATAAAATAATAGTGGTAGATTTAATAATCATATATTTATTCGTAAAATTAAAGCTAATGAAATAAAAGGTGTATTAAAAAAGGTGAAAATAGCTAAGAGTATGGGGCCTGATGATATCCCTATTGAGGTCTAAAATAGTTGAAGGGACAAGGGAGTAGCTTGGTTAACTAGCTTATTTAACAAAATCATGAGATTCGAATGGATCTCTGATGAATCGAGAAAGAGTTTTTTAGTGTCAATTTATAAAAATAAGGATGACATACAAAATTGTTCAAATTATAGAGAGATTAAAATCATGAGTCATACTATAAAATTTTTGAAAAAAGTTATCGAAAGTAGGATAACCCTTGAAACAAATATCTTTGAAAAGCAATTTGGTTCTATACCTGGAAGATCAACCATAGAAGCTATTTATTTATTAAGATAATTAATGAAAAAGTATGGAGAGAAAAAGAAAGATTTGCATATGGTTTTTATTGACTCAAAGAAAGCCTATGATAACGTTCCTAAAGATTTATTATGGTGGGTTTTAGAAAGAAAAGGTATATCCACTAATTATATAGATGTTATTAAAGATATGTATGATAATATAGCTACTAGTGTTAGAACTATAAGGAGTGTGTCTAGTGAGTTTCCTATTAGCATAGGATTATACCAAGGATCCACATTAAGTCCCTATCTTTTCATATTGGTAATGGATAAACTTACTAGTCACCTACATGATAAACTTCTCTGATGTATGTTATTTGCTGATGATATTGTCTTAGTTAATGAGAGCCTAAGTGGAATTAATTATAAACTTGAGCAAAGCCCTAGAAACTAAAGGTTTTAGATTAAGTAGGATTAAAATTGAATATATAAAATATAATTTTAGTGATTCTAAAAATAGATAAGAGAATATAGCTAAATTGGATGGACAAGAAGTCCCTTTAAAGAAAAACTTTATGTATCTTGGATCAATTATTCAATAAGATATAGAGACCGATTAAGATAGTATTCATAGAGTAAAAACAGGATGGTTAAAATAACGAGGGGCGTCAAGAGTCTTGTGTAATCATCAGATACATTTAAGATTAAAAGAAAAATTTTATAAGATAGTTGTGAAACCAATAATGCTTTATGGATCTAAGTGTTGAGCAATTAAGAAAGAACATATATAAAAAATTTGTGTTGTCAAGATGAGAATATTGAGATTGATGTGTGGAGTTACTAGGAAAGATAGGAAAAGAAATACTTTTATTCGTGAACAACTAAATATCGCTTCGATAGAGGGTAAGATGAGAGAAAATCGTTTCAAATAGTATTTGTATATGCTATGGAGACTTCTTAATGCAGTAATCAGAAGAGATGAAATAATTAATGTTAGTAATATAAGAAGAGGTAGAGGAAGATCTAAAAAAGATCTTAATAGAAATTATAAATAAAGATTTAATTTTTCTGAACTTAACTAAATATATGATTTTTTATGGATCTCAATGACGTTAAAAGATCCAATATATATATATATATATATATATATATATATATATATATATATATATATATATATATATATATATATATATATTTGTGTGTGTATGTGAAATATAATATAATATAATATTACTATCAGAAGAAACTCTTTTAAATAATTGCAAAGTACCTAATGGACAACTCTTAAGTAGATCATGTTCTAGTTATTGCTTGAACACTTTATGCCCATTGCATATATATTATTTTCAAATTCAATGATTGCGCTCTGTTTACGTGGTTGATCATATCAAGCAAAGGGACATCCCAGGAATAAAAAGCCATTAATCTCAAATGACTTATCCTAAGAACATGAAATTGCATTTGTTAACCATGCTTTTCATCTATTAGCTCCATAAGTCTGAGTATCTATCCCATATTGAAGATTATTAGTTGGTTTGTTATATGCAGAAACTCTAGTTCCTCAATTTAGTGTTTAATATGCAAGATTGGATCACCTGTTTCCACTGAAGTCCTCAAATCTTGTGTGGGGAAGTGCAACTGTTCACTTTAGTGTTTAATGTGCAATTGTTCTCACAATCTGCTTCTTTAAGATTCAAGAACTTGGTGAATAAAGTCATCTGAATTCTCATTGATACGTGTAGCAATCTCACGAAATAAGATGCAGGCATGCTATATGGAACAACTGTGGGTTTTAATATTTATTTGGATGGACATTAGTGTCTGAAGAATGCCCTCTGAGACATATAACTTTTGGGATGGACGATTGCAATGGTGTAGATGGTTCCATGCACAGATGTATTTGTATTGCATAACATTGCTATGGAAAATTCATTCCATTAGTTACAGCTTCGATAGAATTTGGTTTGCTTGATAATGAACTACTTCAGTTCTCTTTCCACCAGATAAGATATATTTGTATAATTGTATTGTGTGGCATGACTCTTAGACTTTGGATTGCTTTATAATGAACTATTGTAGTTTTCATTCAGCCACATTGTTTAAATTTATAGTTTGTGGTTGACTTGATGTACCAATGGATGGATTGTTAACTTAAATCTTTTTGAAGTAACTCTTTGCTATTATGTATTTTTTTGTATTTATCTTGGCATAGCTTTTTTTATATGGAAAAGCATATATAGGTATCGAACATTGAAAAGATTTTAGCTGTAAAATATATTAGAACATTGGTACTATCAGTAATATCCTTGATAATCATCTATAAAAGTATTCCTGAACATGTTTCATTTGTTTTACAGGTGAGAACAGTGAAAGTTGGCAATGTTTCCCTCAGTGCATCCGAGCAAGACATCAGGGAATTCTTTTCCTTTTCTGGTGATATTGAATACATCGAAATGCAAAGGTTTGTGTTGCTAATCACTGTCACACATTTACTTCTCCAAATGCTAGACTTCACATCATCTGTTCTTGATGAGCTTCTTGTACTTTCTATTAGTGGAGACGAGCGGTCTCAAGTTGCATATGTCACCTTCAAAAAGTCAGATGGAGCAGAAATGGCACTTCTTCTTTCAGTGCGTAAAATGATTTTTACCTATCTGTTCAAACAGTTCCTTTTCTTTAATAACTAATGGTTGATGTTATGTCTATCGGCAAATCTATCGGAAGTAGTTATTTTTTCGTGGTCAATATAATGCTCATTGCTAATTCTATTATGTCATTGTGTTTATGCTCATCAGTACGAATTTAAAAAGCAGCAGTAGTTTTAATACTTAATAAGGGACTTTCTTTCGGTCTTCCTTTGTTTATTTATTTATTTTTTGGTAACTTATCAGGGTGCCACGATAGTTGATATGACTGTCATTATAACACCAGCCACAGATTATCAATTACCAGCAGCTGCATCAATTCCTTACATGGTAAATTTGTGTTTATGATTTTCTTATCTTCCCCTTGCAGTCAAGTGATACATTACATATGATTGAGATTCTTTTGATGATTTATGCTTTTAATATACAGTCGAAAGATGGTGCTGCCAGTAACAAAGAGACTTCGATTCAGAAGGCAGAAAATGTCATCAGCACTATGCTGGCTAAGGGCTTGATCCTTGGAAAGGGTGCATTGGAAAGTGCAAAGTCTTTTGATGAGAAACACCAATTATCATCCACAGCAATGACTAAGGTCTCAAATTTAGATCATAAGATTGGTCTCACCGAGAAAATCAGCACCGGCACTTCTGCCGTCAACGAAAAGGTTTTGGAGATGGATCATAGGTACCAGGTCTCCGAGAAAGCAAGATCGGCCATCACAGCTGCAGAGCAGAAAATTAGCAATGTCGGCTCTGCCGCCATGGAGAACAAGTATGTTTTCGCCGGCGTCTCATGGATGATAGGTGCTATCAACAAGGTTACCAAGACTGCAAGTGAGGTCGGTACGAAAGCCGTGGAGAAAGCTACGGCTGAGCAACAACAGAACAAATCATCACCTGAAGATGCTCAGGATAGGGTGCATTCGCCGGAGACTTCTGTAGCTTCACCACCTGATCATCCTAAGAAGCCCGAACCCGTGCAAGGATTGATTCTATGATCGGCGTTTTCTGTTTTCGTTTGTATATAATGCTGTCATGGTTTCAAATACTCAGTTTCTAAAGATCTGCTGTAGGGCTTCTCCAGTTATTATATGAAAGTGGTTCTGTTAATGTATTTGTTTGTAAGAGAGCTTTTATGTATTATGGATTCCACAGGATTGGACATACTTGCAAAAAGTGTTGCATAAATAATCTGACACATAAGATTGCAAGCCGTCCTTTGGAAGGTAAAGGACCCTCAAAACAATTGGCGAATGCTGCTGCGTGCCTTTATACATTGGGGAGTGACGGCTTACGCTGTGCCCCCGTCGAGTTCTCTGCTGCCGTCTTCTCCGGCGTGGGATATGAGACACGGAGAGGCAAGGCACGAAATATGACGACAGCTTAGTCTTTTGCAGGAATGCTCAATTATAAGCGTGTTCAAGAAAGCAAGCAATATCAATTATAATCTGATATGAGAAATCACCTGATGAAGTTTAATCATCTCAGCCAGGCTCGTCCCAGCCGGAATTATAGTATCCGGTCAGGTTCGATCACGATCAAGTCGTCGTCTACAGGGATGGCTCGGAAACTACAGTAACGGTCAAAGATACGGCCCATGGGCTTATTCGTGTTCGTATCCAGCGTCCATGTTGACGTTCCTACTTGCCACATTTCTCTGCGCCATCGTCGTTTAGGGTTTTGGATATCCTTCCTTCAGCCGTCGCTCCCTCCGATCGCGGCCTCGCGACAGATCACCCTCGATGGCTTCGCCCCCGCCGAACTACTCCGTCTCAGTCGGCGGGAAGGGCTCCTCCCTGTCCCCCGCCGCGGTCTACGCCATCTCCCAGGGCCTCGCCTCCGTGACGATCGACCCCGCTGCCCTCGAGAAGCTCTCCCTTACCAAGCGAACTTCTCCGTTGAACCCCAAGCGCGATGGGCCGTCGAATTCCCGGTTGCTGACCTTGGAAGAGTCCCGCGCGGCCCTCGCCGTCCTGCTCAACAAGTTTGTTCTCTCCGACGCTGCCGTCCGCCCTTCCATCCCGTCCCTCATTGCAGACACGCTAGCCCTCCCGTCCGGTCACGAGTCCGTCGATTTCGGCTCGGCTTTGGGGTTTCTGAACTCGATCTTCCAGTTGAATTCAAAGAACGTTGGCGAGATTGAACTCGGCCGCGAGGAGGCTGGTGTCTTCGAGACCTCGTGCGCGGCTTCTGTTGGTGTCTGCGCCATGTTGGACTGCTGCTCCTCTGCTCTGGTGAAGGTGGCAGATGCCGTGGCAGCATTGTCTTGTGAGGCAGCTCGTGCTGATGTATCTGCATTCGATTTGTTCGGCTCTGGCGATGGATTCTCAATAAAGGATGAGACTGATGTGGCCAGCGACATGAAAGTATTGTTGTTTGGGTCGAAGCTTGTGGGGCAGAATGAATCGGGATCGTTCAATGAGATACCTACAGTCAGTGCTAGCTTTAGGGAAGCCGTGAGAACACTCCATGGTCGAACACGGGTTGAGTTGAACTCAACCGTTAAGTTCAAGAAATCAATGGTGTTTGGAAATCACGGAAAGGAGAAAGCTTTTGCAGGTTCAGTCTTGCCACTCGCCATGTCGATGCAATCGATGATTGAAAGTAGCTTGGACCGTTCAAAATCTACCATTAACATGATAAGTGATAATAGCTTACGCCTAAGGGTTGCGGAGGCTTTCTTGAAGGCCTGTCCCAGTTTGGATGGCGTAAGAGATCAGTTCCACTCAATTACTGAAAAGGCTGCCTCTAAGATTGACTATTTACTAACTCTGCACTATGTATATGAATATTTGGTTAAATTTCGGGAGGTTCTTGCTTGGGAGGCAGCAGTGGCTTTGTTTGCCTTAGAAATAGATGACTCGATTGAGAAACCTCAGGTGGATCAAGCAAGCAAGCTTAATGGAGATGTTGCAAAGGGTGAGAAGAAGACTGACAAGAAAAAGAAGAAGGCGTTAGGTAAGGGAACTTCTAGTATAAGACAGCTTCTCAGAGATAGTATTTTGTGCAAGTCCGATCCTTCTAGCGAAAATGTTGTGGTCTTGGTTGAGTGGGCATGTGACCTTGCAAAGTATTTTGATCCCAAAGATACTCGGCTAGATAACCTACTGATAAAGGTGAAGGAAATAGTGGAGAGTAATGAAGTCAGACGACTTCCTAAAATCCCCAAGGTAAGAAACACAAAATGATTTGATAATGTTTATCTTCTTCTAGTTTGTGTATGTCGATTGTTTCTGGACTGTCTTACCCTGGTTGTCACCCTTATATTGTCAAGCTCGTTGGGTTATATCTGTTTGATATTGCATTCTATGCTGGGAGTTACCATCTTTGAACATGCTAAGCATGGACTGTGTTTCTTCACATAACAAGTTTGTAAATTGTTATATGATCTAGGACTGGATTTTAAGTTTCACCTTAATATTTTACTTGCTTCAAGGTAATTTTAGAACATGTTTTACATTACAAATGTCTCTTATATTGTCAAGCTCCTTCTCTTTATTATATCAGCTTAATATTGCATTATGTGCTGGAAACTAACCACCTTTGGTCATGCTGGGTACAAAATTTATTTCTTAGGCAAATTCTCGGAAAAAGCCCCTAACTTGAAGAATTTCCGACAGAGCGTCCCAACTTTGAAAAATTCCTACAGTGTGCCCTTGATCGTCTGACAATATCATTTTACCTCTACCTCCGTCATCCCACCGTCGCCTACGCCCTGCAGTGTCGTCTTGCACTGCCTCTGCCACTGCCCTTGCGCCCTCGTCGGAACCCCCCCTTGTCGTCACTCACAGGCCCTCCTCATCGTCGAGGTCGATAGACTCCCCTCGTTGTTGATTGCGAGTGAGGAAGGAGGGGGGCGGCCCATGTGACCTCGTTGTTGCCCACAACCCCCTCTCGCCATTGATCGCAGGCGAGGAAGGAGATGAGGCGGCCCATGCGACCTCACCGTTGGCCGCGGGCGAGGAAGGAGAGGGCGGCGGCAGCCCTCATTTCTGGTGTGTCCAACGGGTTAGAGGGGAGGGGAGGCGGCTGTTGGGGTCTTGCGAGGGTGAGGCCTCTGCTGCTGGTCATCTCCATGCGCGTTGTCACCTATGCCGCAAACGATGGCCGGCTGTTCCGAGCAGAGGAGAGTGGTCGCTGACAGGGGTAGGCTAGTTATTTTGAAAAAACGGCGCTCTGCGGAAATTTCTCAAAGTTGGGGCAGTATCCGGGAAATTCTCAAAGTTAGGAGCTATTTTCGGGAATTCATCATTGTTTCTTTACATTTTATAAATTGTTATATGATAATGGACTGGATTATAAGTTTCTTATTCTCAACTTGCAGCAAGCATTGTTCTTGGGAATTATTCTGAGGTTTGGTTTGTTTGCATTTATGCTTTCTTCTGCTAGTGGTAGGAATGCAAGAATTGTTATCTTCTTTGTTTTTTTAATGAATGAAGTTTCATTAAAGTCTTATTTTTTGGCTCAACATAACATTTATTCCCCTGCATCTTCAGACAAAAAAAAGTGAACCTCGTGCTGTTTCAAGATTTACTGAAGCTTGATGTTCATAAAAAACATGTGAAAATATTTGAGAAAAGAAAAGTAGAATTTTTCTTTCGTAATCATTTTCTGATACAGAAAATTCAATATTAGCGACCTTTTAGAATGCCTTTGCATACCTTGATACTCTGTCGATGAACAGGGAAACAACATATGTTAAACTAAAACCCATCTATATATTTTCTTAATGTTATTTGATCTCATAAAACATATACAACTCCTTTTATCATTTCAAATAATCATTTTCTTTTTTGGGTATGTTTGTTAGGGAACACGTGATTTTGGCAAAGAACAAATGGCCATTAGAGAACGTGCATTTTCAATCATTACAGGTGTCTTTAAGATGCATGGTGCTGTTGCCCTTGATACTCCTGTCTTTGAATTAAGAGAGACTCTCATGGGAAAGTATGGGGAGGATTCAAAGTTAATATATGACCTTGCCGATCAGGTATATACAAGAATGTTAGTTGTCCTTTTTTTGTAGTGGTTTGTTGTCCTTTGATTTTTAATTGCAAATGGTTTTATTAGCAAGATTGTTCTTTAATTTTTTGTATAGGGTGGTGAGCTCTGTTCTCTGCGATATGATTTAACTGTGCCATTTGCGAGATACTTGGCTATGAATAATATCAATGCATTAAAAAGATACCAAATAGCTAAAGTATACAGAAGGGATAATCCATCAAAGGGAAGATACCGTGAATTCTACCAATGTGACTTTGATATTGCTGGGCATTATGAAACGATGGAACCTGATTTCGAGGTTATCAAAGTCTTGACTGAACTGTTGGATCAGCTTGACATAGGCAGCTATGAGGTAATTTTTCCCTCAATAATTGCACAAAAACAAATGTTTTCTGTTCTTAATATTTCATCTTCTTTCTAATATATATCAGAAATCTTTCAACGTGAGACCAACGAGAATTCTGAAAGAAAAAGTTCTTGCCCTTGTAAAATAGTCAGATCTGAGGAACAGTTGTAACTGGCGAATCTAAACTGCTTCTGAATTATTTACGTAGCTTTCACAAAGGATCTTTTTTGTTTTGCAGATTAAGCTGAATCATCGAAAGTTACTAGATGGGATGTTGGAAATCTGTGGTGTGCCTTCTGAAAAATTTAGAACAGTTTGCTCAAGCATCGATAAACTGGACAAACAACCATTTGAACAGATAAAAAAGGAACTGGTGAGAACAGTATTGGCTAATTTCAGTGACTGTTAGCTAGTTTGAGACAGTGATTCCAAATATTTTCTCCAGCTTATAAAGCCATTTTTTTGCTTTAGGTGGATGAGAAGGGGTTAGCAGTTGAAACTGCTGATAAGATTGGTGCTTTTGTGAAGAAAAGAGGCCCACCACTCAAAATTTTATCAGAACTAAAGAAAGAGGGGAGCCAATTCTTGGAGAATGCTGGGTCTGTCCTTGCATTGAATGATTTGGATATTTTGTTTAAAGCTCTTGAAAAGGCAAAGTGTTTAGACAGAGTGGTTTTTGACTTGAGTCTTGCAAGAGGACTTGATTATTATACTGGTGTTATATATGAAGCAGTTTTCAAAGGATCTACACAGGTAAGATATACCTCAAGCATGTTATGTAGGATGTATATAAGAGATACCCTATGGGCTTTTCTGTTGCCACTCAAGTAGCTGAGTGTTTGGTTGAAGTAATGATTATGTTTGATACTCATGTCAACTTTTTAACACAAAGTCACAAACACAGTAGAACTAGTTTCAGAGGATTAAAAGTCAATTTAGCATTAATGCAGCATTTTTCCCACTAGACACTGAATCGGAGTATTATCTTAAACTGTCAAGGAAAGATTCACCTAGTCCCTTGCACCATCAATTATGCTTTCCCATATTTGCATTTGAGCATAATTCAACGAAATATGCTTCATATATTTCTTTAGATAGCTGGAGTTGTTGGTTCTATTTCGGTACCTACTATGTGCGATGGTTTTCTAATGACTTTATATGTCTGGAAGTCACTGTGAAGAGGATGTCTTATTTTTTGTCCACTTTCCATTAGCTGTGTTGATGCATTGAAGTTAATAGAATTTCGGACCATGTGTGGATTTTCTTGTTTTAGAGATGCTCATTTATAAAGGCATTATAGTTAGCTAAACTGTATTGTCATATTTCTTCAGTCGCAAACAGGTGCCCATATCCTTAAAATGTGAAAGTAATATTAGTGTTTCTTTGGACTGTCTAGATTTGGGCATAAACTTTTTGCCAGAGATTGGTTACCAGTCTACCCTATCGGTCCCTTGATATGCGCTAAGGAACTTCAAAGCTTATAAACACTCTTTAATCTTGTTCTTTGGGCGAGGGCAACTTTTCCAGGGATGTTGAGTATGAAGTGAGACATTAATTAATAAGAAAAGTAGGTCATCTGCAGAAGCTACATTATCATCAACTTTTATGAGCTTTCCCTGAAAAAAAAGATTGTGCAATGCTTTTTGCCTTAAGAATATACTTTGTGTTTGGTTAGGGGTTAAAATTTCTGGACAAAATCATTCATTTAATTCACCCATCTAGGCAGGTTGTTTTGACCTAGATTATTCAGGTTAAACTCCTTTGTTCAGGTTAGTTAACTTTTAATGGCTCGTGCATTTGTCTGTTACACCTGGGAGCACCAATTTAACCCTACCTAACTTGAACCAATTATATTTTTGTATTATTAGTGAGTTAAGGAAGACTGATTCTTTTATCACTGCATCTGCATTCTAGGTTGGCTCTATTGCAGCAGGTGGACGATATGATAATCTAGTAGGGATGTTCAGCGGAAAGCAGGTTCCTGCAGTTGGCGTCAGCCTTGGAATCGAGAGAGTGTTTACAATAATGGAGCAACTTGAAAAAGACCGGAATCAGGTATGCTTTATTTACAAACATTTCCTATACATTCAGTACATGAAAGACAGATATTTTCCATTCATTCTCACTTGTTAAACGTGGATGATTTCAAGATTTTTTCAATCCCATATGTTTTATTCTTTTATGGACTGTTCATGTGACTGTGTCATCTATGCTGTGACTATATCATCTGTGCTGCCTTGTAAAAGATGTACATCTCTAGCACTTTTGCATTATTTAACATATTCCTCTTTTGTTTTTCCCTCATCTGTCGGCTTGAATACTCCATGATTTTATGACTCAGCCACTATCATATGCAAACAAACACAATAATTAGTTTTATCAGTTGTGCATATGAGCTAAGAGTGAGACAGAGTGACAGCACCGCTTAACTAACACAAACTTACTTGTGATATTTAGAGTCTTTACAAAGATTTGACAATCCATGATATGAGCATGTGATACATGGTTTTTATTAGTCCCATTTTGAGATTATGTCCGTTGAATTTCACTTTTTTTAGGCCTTTAGGACAAGATGAATTTAGTAAAACATGGGCATGTATGCAGCCTTTGTTGTTTTATCATTCCAATATTTTTTCACGTTCCTTCTTTCCAAGCAAAGAGGGAATGCTTCTCTATATCAACAAGAGACTGATTTTGACAAGGCTAAGCAACCTGATTTTGTATATAATTTACTAAATTGTTTTTTCCTGATTTTGGATGATGCTCAAAAGTTGGTATATAGAACAGGGAATTGTTCTGAAATTTTTGCTGCTCTTTTGAATGTTTATATAACATATATGATGTTCATGGGGCTATGGACATCTGTTGTTTAAGAAATTCTTTGGTGTGGTGCTTTATCGTGTGTCCACGTGCATGCATAATCACTTGATGACTGAATCGAAAATTTGATACTTAGCCCTTAGGTCTTCAATTTCCTGAAGACTTCAAGGTTTTGATGACATTAACATTTCTTGTACTTGCTAACCAAATTGCTTTGCTTTTATTTTCCTTTTGCATCTCTGTCTGTTTGATTTGGAGCAAAAGCCACCAATATGTTAAACTGAGCCTTTCCAAACTAACAGATCACAGTCATCTGTCCCCACCCCCTTTGGAAGAGACAAGCTTAGATTTTGAACGTACTTGCCTCAGAAAATATCCCTTGGAAGTAGAAAGTGAGTTGAGTGAGCTAGCCATTGATTGGAAATGGTGGCAAAGAACGTTCGGATTCTAAAGTGCTGTCTTGTTTGGTTTGCTGACTAATGTTTAGGAATTCGATGAGTGGACAAAGATGCTTCTTAATGTGTTTAAGATAATTTGATCTACTTTTATATATTTATTAATCATTTTATTTCAAATTTTAGGCCACCTGTGAAGGTTTGTCTTTAGAAGATGATAAATATCTTTTTTTGGTTATTCTTCATTGATTTTTACTCAAGTTGGTATGATCATGTACATTGCTGGTTCTGATATTCCGATTTTGCAGGTAATCCGTGCCACCGAGACACAAGTTTTGGTGGCTATCCTTGGGAAGGATCTCACGCTGGCTGCAGAAATTGTCGGCCAACTGTGGGATGCTAAAATTAAAGCTGAATTTGGGCTGACCAAAAGGGTGATGAATCACATCAACCGGGCGAAGCAATCTGGCATCCCTTGGATGGTCCTTGTGGGAGAATCTGAGGTGAGTAGTGGCATTTTTAAGTTGAAGAGCATCGAAGCCAATCAAGAAGAGGAGATTCCTAGGGAAAAAATTGTTGACGAGCTCCAGAGACGGCTTGGTATTGTCTGAAAAAAGCAACACGGCATTCAAGAACCAGACAACACGATGAAAAATCTTCAATAACAGACATTTCGATTCAAAGCATGGAGCATTTTACTTTCTATTTGAGTTGGTATTTAATCCAAGCAAATGCTTAACCTTGAGAGGCAAAGCAGTCGATGGGCACTCAATAACCTGCTAACTCAGGAGCCAGCACTTGATTGGATGCCATGGTATAGATAGACAATACATCTTCAGTAAGAGCTACATTCTTTTCATTTTCTTTCTTTTTTTTTATTTTGGCTTGTAAGCAGCTCAAGTTTTTGAAGGGTCTTCTGCATCTTCTGCTAGATGATGAAGTTTGTCACTGGTGATCAATGAGACCTCCATTGGTATTTGATCCTCCACACTTGCTTGTGTTTCTGTATAGATGTGTAGGGGATTGTTGTAAGGATGGCATGTTGATTTATCGAGGTTTTCTTATCTGATACAGAACAGGCAGTTGTCGTAGTAGATCTTTTTCAGTGTGCTTGGATAGGATTCCAAGGGAATGATTGCTACGTCATTCTATCCTCCAATGACACACCTCTGATCGGTAACCTTGAAAACAGGGAGGTCGGAGAGAGGGATGGAAATCCAGCCTTCCACTCAACAGTTTCCTTATCGATGCACGAATCTTAAAGCCAGACGTCCAAGGTTCCAATCTCGTCGCTGCGCAACTCTTAAAGCGAGACGGACGGACGTGGCTCTTGCAGTGCCCTCATCGCACGAGGGTCCAATCTCATCGATGCACAACTCTTAAAGCGAGACGGTTGTGAATCTTACAGTATCTTCATCGCACAAACGTCCAAGCAAGGCACCCAAGGTTCCAATCTCATCGATGCGCAAATCTTAAAGCGAGACGGCCAAGGTTCCTATCTCATCTATGAACATATCTTAACGCAAGACGGACGTCGATCTTACAGCATCTTTTTTGCACACCTCTCTAAGCGGGACGTCCATGGTTTCAATCTCATTGATGCACATATCTTAAAGCGAGACGGCTGCGGTTCTTACAACAGCATCCTCATCGCACAAACATCTAAGCAAGACATCCAAGGTTCCAATCTCGTCCATGCGCAAATCTTAAAGCGAGTCGGACGTGGATCTTACGTTCCAATCTCATCGATGCACGACTCCTAAAGCGAGACGGACGCTGATCGTGCTGTGCAGCGGACCCACAATGTCCCGGCGTCCCCTCCGGCCCTCCCCCTCCCTGCTGCGCTGCGGCGGCCCTCCTTCCCCACCTTGTCCTCGCAATTATAAGGAATCCCCAAGGCCGCAACGAAACAAGCTTGGTGGAGAAACCGGTGGGGAAGAATGACGGGAACACGAAGCAGCAGCAATTTACGATCGCCATCTTCCACTCCGATCTCACCCGTACGGTTTTCTTCTGCCCGATGAGGAAGAGGTGTAGTTCTGAATCATGTTCTTCGAGGATTAATGCATATTTATATTCACTACTTCAAAATCTTAGGTTCGAATCCATATCTATGTTTCCTTTTCAGTGTTTGAGATAGATTTTGTTCATATCTCAATCTTACACCTTCGAGATCTGTCTTGATTTCTTCTTGTTCATCTTTGGGGTGATTACACTATCCCAAAGATGTTTCACCTATTTGTTGTGAATGGTGCCTTTGTCATCTCTTCTTTGTCCGTTTTCCTCTACTAGCTTTGGTTTTTAGACCAAGTCAAATGCGTCATACTACTCCCAACAGTCGTGCAAACATGTCTGGATGTCATCCCACACTGCGTTTTGACAGAAACTTTAATCTCGTGAATTCATTACGCGATGACAAGTTTGTCTCATGATGAATTACCTTCTTGTTCATTAAATTGCTTTGCAGATTTCAACTCGAAGGACAAATATCAGAAGGTTACATCTCTCAGCATCTGCATTCACTTATCACTCTCTTTTATGGTCTGTCTCAGAGCTCATTTACCCGTGCCTTCAATTTTCTTCCCCGGAACAGTGCTGTGCGTGAAGAGCAAGCAAGGCCAGTGAGCACCCTCTCCACACATTCGAATTCAGCTTCTTATTCCAAGAAATCGATCGTTGTGTTCTTCTTCCTCTTGAGTATATTTGTGGCAAGACTTTGCGAGCAATAGTTGCTCGTGTTGGCATGAAAGAAGGAATCTACCGACCAAGTTTGGTTCAATCGTGATGTATTCTGTGCTATGTATTCTACCCTCATTTATATGACGCGACTTATCCTTACAGCAGAATCTGATGAACACTAGTGTGGCATCGAGAGCACATATCGTGCATGAGAAGTCCCTCCCTATTCATGTCCGCACTTCAAAGAAGCAGTGGTGTCAGAGAATTAGACGTCACACAGCGATGCTACTTCGTTTACCGAAGCATGCCACTTTCTTTAGCGACCAACTCCCTTCGATTTATTCCTACCTATGCTCTGCCCAATACATCCTATCAAATATATGATCTATACGGCTGTGTAATATTAATGTCCTTTTGTCTCTATATTTTAAAAAATTATATTGATATCGATATAATTATAGAATTAAAAATATTTATATTTATTTATCCTAACATTATCGATTTTTTCGATGAAAATAAAATATCAAAATATAATCTGAACGTTTCAATCAATAGTGACAGATGATAGCGTCGATGAACGATGAAAGAGCTATCGATGAAGATGTTAAGCGAAATTGTTATGCATTTATATTGTCATCGACGTCTTTCGCCGCCATCGATGTATAATATCAATGTCCTTTAGGGGCATCTCATTAGTTAGATATATTTAGTATCTTAGTTTTTATATTTTTAAAAATTTATATTGATATATCTATAATTATAAAATTAAAATATTCAGATCTATTTACCCTACCTAACATCATCAATTTAATCAATAAAAATAGAATTTTAATGTTATAATCAACGATGATGAATTACAATACTAGCGAGCAATGAAAGGATTGTCAATGAAGATGTCAAACGATACCGGTCTATATCAGCATCGATGTCATCCGTCATCATCAATTAGAATATTAATTTTTTTTTATATATTTTTATTAGTAAAATCAATTATGTTAAGATAAATGGATCAAATATTTTAGTTTCGTAATTATATAGATGTCAATATAATTTTTAAAATATAAGGATAAAAATACTAGAGGTAGGTAACTGATAACACGTAAATACTACGTCCAATATATCAGCTATACGGCTGTGTAATGCCAATGTCCTTTACGGGCATTATAATCGAGGTTGGCGTCCAGAAGCGTGTGAAGCGTCGCTTCGCCTTCCATCTACGTCACACATGGCGCCACATGGAGGACACCTCATTCTCAAAACCCCATCAACCTTCCTTGCGACTGTAGCTGGCGCCGGGACCCACCAATCTCAAGGGCAGCACTCTTGTCGAGTCAAAGCTGGCGCGACGTTCCTCTTCGAATCCAACGCCAGATCGAGCGAATCGGAGCCGCTTCATTCGGTGGACCCCACCGGCGTGGTGGGTCTCACATAAGACATTTGGGAGACGGCGGCAAAAAGCGAAAGCGCGTGATGGGGGCGAGAGAGAGAGGGAGGGAGGGAGAAGGGGGAGGGTTGACTCGCGGGGCAGGGGAGAGAACGCTGCTCCGGAGGCGACGAAAGACACGTGTCCGTTACGCCAGGCGGAGCAGATTCCCTGGCGGGGAATCGGTTTCTGCTGCCCGCAGTTAAAGTCGCATTTACCACCACGCGCTCTCTCTCTCTCCCTCTGAAACCTCCCTCCCACTAATTACCCCCACCGGTAATAAATAATTACTACCAATAAAGGTTTTAGTGAAAGAGAGTGAGTCTTCTTCTTCTGATGGAGAGAGAAAGAAGAGTTAATACCGTTTGTCTGTGAAGCAGCACAGAGAGAGAAAGAGAGCGGGGAAAGAAGAAGAAGAAGAAGAAGAAGAAAAAGCTTAAGTGTAGGTCCACGAAGAGGGAGAAGACAGCAGGTCTTCTGTCTTGTTTTCTCCTCTCTCTCTCTCTCTCTCTCCCAGAAACACCGACAGTGGTTAGTGGCATTCATTTCTCGCCATTACTGCACTTTCCTCTATCCCATTCCTCCTACCTTTCTTTCTTTCTTTCTTTCTTTCTTCTCAGATCTCCCCTTCCTTCTTCATTCTTTTGTTTTCCTCGTGTCGTTGTACTCTCATTCTTCGACGATCTCTCCATCGACCGTGTTTGGTTCTGTTTACTTGAAGATGGACGAAGTGTGGTTCTGAGAAAGGCAAAACAGTCGAGTGTCTTCTTGTTTCGAGGGCAAAAGAAGTGGAGGTCAAGAAAGAGAGGCTAAAGATGTATGGAGACTGTCAAGTGCTGTCATCCATGGTGGGAGGCAACGTTGTGTCACCCGATTCGCTCTTCTCCTCTTCGATCCAAAATCCTAGCCTCAGCTTCATGGCTAACATGCCACCATTCCATGCCTTCTCCTCCATCATTCCGGTAAGCACTGATCTCTTCCTATACCTTACCCTACGCGTTCTCAAAACATTGTCGCTAAGATTTGGTTGTGGTGGCGTAAGAAGGAGGAAGGGATGATGTTGATGGGGAGGGGTGGGAGCAAGGAAGAGGAGATGGAGAGCCGCTCTGGTAGCGGACCCCTGGACGGAGTGCTCAGCTGCGGCGAGGACCACGACAACGAGTTGCAGCAACCGCCGCCGCCGTCGCAACTGCAGCAGACGGCTGCGAAGAAGAAGCGTTACCACCGCCACACCGCCCGGCAGATTCAAGAGATGGAAGCGTGAGACTCTCACCACATCCATCTCTGTTAATGATATGATATGGTATGATGTGATATGATTTGATGGCCATTAATAGGATGTTTAAGGAGTGCCCTCACCCGGACGAGAAGCAGAGGATGAAGCTAAGCCATGAACTCGGCCTTAAGCCTCGCCAGGTCAAGTTCTGGTTCCAGAACCGCCGGACTCAGATGAAGGTGCGTCTGCAACCCTTCATTCATGCATCAGTACCAACAATGATACAAGAATTAGATGCTATTCGTTGTGGAAGAAAGCTTACTGATATGCATGGGATTGTAACTGCGGCACGCTGCAGGCTCAACAAGACCGGGCGGACAACGTGGTGCTGCGGGCGGAGAACGAGAGCCTGAAGAACGACAACTTCCGGCTGCAGGCAGCCATTCGCAACGTCGTCTGCCCCAGCTGCGGCGGCCCGGCCATCCTCGGCGAGATGTCCTTCGACGAGCAGCAACTGCGCATCGAGAACGCCCGGCTCAAGGACGAGGTACTGAACCCTAACCCTAGCTCCTCCCAGAACGACGTTACCTCCACATGCACTTGCTCTTGCTATCATTTCCTCTGTTCACCACTTCAATGTGCAGCTTGAGCGTCTATCCTGCATCGCGTCGCGTTACAGTGGCCGGCAGTTGCAGCCATTAGGGCCGGCACCGCCTCTACTGCTCCCCTCTCTTGACCTTGACATGGGCATCTACTCCAGACACTTCCACGAGCCGCCGGTGGTGAGCTGCACCGACCTGATCCCCATCCCGCAGATCTCCGATGAGCCCTCGCCGTTCCCTGGCATGCTCATCATGGACCAAGACAGGCCATTGGTTCTCGACCTGGCAATGACGGCAGCAGATCACCTGGTCAGGATGTGCAACACGAACGAGCCGCTGTGGATCCGAAGAGGTGGTAGCACCGTGGAGGTCTTGAACTTGGAAGAGCATGCGAGGATGTGTCCATGGCCGATGGATCTGAAACAGCAACAGGGGCGGTTTAGGACGGAGACTTCCAGGGACAGTGCCATGGTCATAATGAACGGCATCACAATGGTGGATGCCTTCCTGGATGCAGTGAGTCAATCTTTTCCTAGATCCATGAATCGTCTCTGTAGCATCATGAGCTCTTACCCTCTCGGTTACTTTGTCCAGAACAAATGGATGGAGCTGTTTCCTTCCCTTGTCGCAAAGTCCAGAACGGTGCAGGTTTTGAGTCCCGGAGTTCCCGGCCACGGCAATGGCTGCTTGCATCTGGTAATTTGTCGGATCACCTCCATGAATACATGTTGTTGTTGGCATCTGCTTTGCTCATGTTCGGGCTATTAACAGATGCATGCAGAGCTGCAATTTCTATCTCCGTTGGTGCCCGCCCGTGAAGCTCACTTCTTCCGGTACTGCCAGCAGAACTCAGAAGAAGGCACTTGGATTATAGTCGACTTCCCCGTTGATGGATTCCGAGATGGCATTCAAAGCCCCTTCCCCTGGTATAGAAGGAGGACTTCTGGTTGCGTCATCCAAGATATGCCCAATGGGTACTCCAAGGTACGGAAACTTGATTTGCTGTGTTTATGTATCACCGGGACAAGAAAAAGCGCTTCTATGTTCTGGGAATGTTGCTCACCTGCCATGATCACTTCTCTAATAGTAATAGAGGACATGGTTAAGAATTTTATGGAAGAACACAGGAGAAAGATAACAAGAACAAATCAGAGTTACCTGCTTTATACCTCATATTTCTTTGGGCAGGTGATCTGGGTAGAACATGCAGAGGTGGAGGACAAACCAGTGCATCAGATATTCCAGCAATTTGTCAGCGCCGGTGAGGCATTCGGAGCTACACGCTGGGTTTCAGTCCTACAAAGGCAATGTGAGCGGCTCGCGAGCCTTATGGCGAGAAATATTTCTGACAATGGAGGTATCTCTGCCGATTCATCCCCACAGAAAAGTCCTACACTGAACTGTGTTGCGGTTCTCTCATCCGTGTACTCCGGTGTTTCAGTTATCTCATCTCCGGAGGCGAGAAAGAACATGATGAGGCTGTCACAGAGAATGATAACAACATTCTGCACCGGCGTGTATGCCTCTGGAATGCAGTCATGGACGGCGCTCTCGGATTCTTCCGATGACACGGTCCGGGTGACAACTAAGAAAAATACTGCACCCGGCCAGCCAAATGGGGTTATTCTCACGGCAGTGTCCACCACATGGCTTCCTTCCTCCCATCACCAGGTGTTTGAGCTTTTGACGGACGAGCAAAGGAGGTCTCAGGTACTTCGTGGTTTGTTGTTTACTGCAATCTGCATCTTTGTTTGTGTCTTCAGGTAGCTACCTTCTCGTGTCTCGTTCAGCTGCAGTTGGATGTGCTCTCCAGCGGGAACTCGTTGCATGAGGTGGCTCATATAGCCAATGGCTCGCACCCGAGGAACTGCATATCACTGTTGCGTGTCAATGTCAGTATGCCCTCCCACGCACTTCATCCTATTTTGCTTTCGATTGCCGATTGAGATATTTTCTACGTGCATGTGTAATCCACTCGCTCAGGCAGCAAGCAACTCCTCCCACAGCGTGGATCTCCTGCTCCAAGAGAGCAGCACCCACCCCTCCGGTGGCAGCATCGTGGTGTACGCCGCAATCGACGTCGACGCCGTGCAGGTGGCGATGAGCAGCGAGGACCCGTCCTACATTCCCCTCCTCCCGACCGGGTTCGTCATCTCGCCCGCCGCCCGCCAACCAAACGCTGGGACCGGTAGCGGCAGCGATGGTCACGCCACCGTCGGATGCCTGCTCACGGTCGGCATGCAGGTGCTCGCCACCGCCGTCCCCTCCGCCAAGCTTAACCTCTCCACCGTCACCGCCATCAACAACCACCTCTGCAACACCGTGCAACAGGTTAGAGCCGTCATCGCCGGTGCCGGTGGCACGGCCATGGCCGAGCCGGCTGCCGTGGCGCCGGATCAATAACACGAGGAAGTGACTGGAGTTACCTGAACCCTAAGTACTGAACCATTAAACCTCGTGAACATGTCTCTTCAGTGACGATGACCCCAGTGGTCGTGTTGGCGAAGTAGGAAGGCGGGGTTCAAGGTAAACTCCAAGGATGGTAGTGGAGTCTGTAGAGTGTCTAGTTCAAGTGGCAGCGTCGTACTGTAACATGTCAGTGGAAGAAGAGAGGCCAAGGAGACTAGTTAGGTTGAAGGAGGGAAGTCAAGAGCGCACCAGATGTGACCCTTGCTCGCTGGCGAAGCCCATCTCACGAGGGGAGGAGGGCGTTGGTTCGGGAATTGACTTCTTGCTCTGTGGTGGTCAGCTTCCTGTTGGTTTGTGTTTGTGTTTGTGTTTCTGTTGAGTTGCCTCGGATGGGGGTTTGGTTGGTAGAACTGGATTGAATGATGCATGCTGTGCTGGAACCATTATGGTTATTTATGTTGTGTATTCATTGCTCTGTTTGCCTATCTTCCTTTTTCTTTTTTTCCGACTTGGGATTTGGTGTCAGGGACCAGCCACCGCAGGAGAGCCTTGATGAGGCTGCTGGCCGCGAACAGAATCAGCTCCAGCACTGATCCAGGTGGACATGGTTGCATCATCTTTGTTCTGCTAGATATTCTCCATGAATGAGTCATGCGGACGCAGCTTTGAGTAACAGATGGAAGCATGCAATTGTGATATCTGGACGAGAGCAATTATGGGATTCCCTATTTGAACAGGGCAAGTAAGGAGGTCATGAAGGAAATCATGATCGAGGTTAAGAATCGCCAAAACACATTAAGATGACCGAACTTTCAGACTACCAATGGACAGCAAATAATAATATATTCGATAACATGCAAGACAAAGAATATAATAACATCCCCGAGAGTCAACGCCTACAACAAAGCAGAGGACTGTCATGTTCCTACAGAGCATGAAATATAAAATATAATTCCCTGTATCATCTGCCTAATTAACTTGTATTGACGCCATTAGGATAATGACCAGTAAACCAACTCAAACCTGGAGGCATCCGACTCCCAACGCCTGACTGACTCTGTTCCAGCTCCTGCCAATTTGCTCTGAGCAGAGGCGCATCACCACGTCAAGACTTGTTTTACAGGTCTGTGGGCTAGGATTTTGGAGCTTGATGTCTGGCCATAGGTGGTAACTGCAAAATACAGCAGTGGTTGAGGGATAGCGTGGATGTAAAAGCATAAAAATATGCAAGTTTCATTTTTGCTCCTTGAAGCTGATCGAGTAAATATCAAGCCGATGTGCTGTTGCTGAACTAATTGTAGGGATGGAATACTAGAATTCCTACAATTAAGTAGGTTAACCTACAATCATGGAAGATAACATAGCCAAATTAACCGAAACACTTGCTCAAAAAAAACTTTTGAGCCATCTGCAAATCTTGCTGGTTGGTGTATTTCTATTCTGAAAACGATCTTAAGAAAGTTAACATAGCCAATGCCTCTAAAAAATCCAGCGTAAGAACCAATGTACACTTTTCATCCAACATAAATATCAAGATAGGGAGGAAATAAACTGACATGAGAAAAGTAAAGCAGACTATACAAGGGAGAAAGAGGCACGGCTAAAAGACCAGAGATTCTTTCTGTTAGGTTAACAAACGTGACACGCAAGGAGCAGGAAGCACCTAAACACGTAAGGATCAAGGCATCTCATATACAGGAACTGATGCTTATATTTATCTAGCATAACTTGGGAAAACTAAGTGATGGGAAAATTCTCAGCTAACCATGCAGCGGACGCCCTGGATTAAAGACATCCCAACAGTAAACATAAAGCATACCATATCGGACGAGTACAATCGAGACACCCAATTTGCCTTTGTTGACTTCTCAGAACCATGGTCTTGTTCAAGAATGGAAATTATAGGAACCCATACACTTCATAGGTTTACCCTTAAATAAACTAGTCTTTTTATCAGAGATATATTCGCAACCCAAGCCTAGTTGGTGAACAAGGGATCCGATATAGAAGCTCTACAATTAAGTTCAACTAACCATAATGTTGGAGCTAGTTCCACAATTAGCGAAAATAGTTCAGTGCTTAAGAAACAAATTTGAGCTCAAGGCTTTTAACTCAAAGGCAAGCTCTCAAGAGAACCTAGCCAAAGCTTGTCCTTTAATACCTTTGTTACCCACAAGTAGGTAGTGCACCTTCTAAGAGAGGGGGATAAAAATGTAAATCAGCTACAAGCAAACAAAACATAGTGTTTGTCCATAATGGATAAAAATTATCAAAATTTCATAAGAGCCAATAGGACCAAAATAAACTATTAAGAAAAAAAAAACTCAAAATAATGGATTGCTCAAGTTTTATGACCAAATCTATGCTATTCAGCTTCATCATATGCCAAAAGATCAGATCTGAACAGAATCACAGATTTAGTAGTCTAGCAGGTACTGCATGAGCAGCAATCAAAATTGATAAAACTGACCATGTGTTGTAGCCTCATTATTGTAGAACCCAATAATTTATCACCAATAATCTGTCTTAACTTTTTAACCAAATCAATCCTGCTTATCTTCCTCTTCTGACAAAAGGAAAAAACATATGGAGTTAATCAATATGTGAAAGTACATGAAATCAAATAGTAATATTTGAAAATCAAAATGACCTTAAAATCTTCATAATGAGTGTTAACCAAGTCCATGTCTTGAGGAGGCACTTTAGTTGAAATTGCAGCAAACAACATTGAAAAGGGCATCCATGGAGAGGTTGGAGTTCTTGGAGCTCGACCTGACGATAAACCTCGAAGCTGATTTGCAACAACTGGAGATGGGTGGCTCTTATCCTATGGCACAAAGGAGGCAAGGCCATCACTTAGTTCAATAACAATAGAAGAGCAAAAGTACTGCTTCAGATTTAAAAAAAGAATAGCACAATAATTATGTAATCCTAGGTCTTCTGTTGTGGAACCTAAACATGGTTAACTGGAGATCCTAATATGAAGACTGTTCAGCATCATCTTCAGAACTTTGCCATGCAATAAAAAATTCTAGCATGGATTACAGAATTTGAAGAAATACAAACAGAAAACCCATTTCATCATAAATATGCAAAAAAAAAAAAATGATAAGATGGTCAGCCATTACTATATATCCATCAAAAAACGGACTAGTTGGTAATCTACTACAGCACAAGAATCCTAATAGCTAAGATCTGGACTATAATTAAGTGTTCCATGAAATATGGTCTAAAAATAATTATAATTTGTAAAACACACCTGATATAAGCTGCAAGGTGAATTAGAATTTGTTAAAGCAGACACATAAGACATACCACCATCGCTAGCCAAACATTCTGCAGTCACAAATAAAGTACAGGCTTTGAAATAAAGTTTGAACTCATATAAAGGAATTTTTTTTTAAAAAAATCAACCAGATGCTCCGGCAAAAGTTACCTTTGGCATTGGTAGGCAAATTTATAGTCACAATAAATTCTGCATAGATATGAGTATACATATTCAAATCCCATATTATATAATGCTTTGGATTCTGAAGATCATCGACCCCACTGTCAAAGTTCTCATGGCTGGCCTGATGCTGGTTAGATCCCATGGGAATTAGCTCCATGTTTCCCATAATAACGCGGCACAGCATCATATGGATAAAACCATTGTCGTCAACATTAGAATAGCGAGCACTGAAGACAATATATGTAGATTAGTGATATTTCTTCATGGACGATTAGCAAACAAAGAATAGTGCATGACCAAGAGGAACCATCAAATGCAAATAAAGGGCTGTTTGCAGCCTTCTAGAACAAGAATTAAGGATCATTCCATAATTGCCAGAAGACAATCATGATAAAATTGATATTGAACCTCACCAGACATTTGAACAATTTGCTGGTGCAAGATGAATGCCATTGCCAAACAGAGGCTTCTGTTCAGGTATCTTCAAAACCCCTTTCAACATCATCTCTTCGACAGCACCTTTGGAGGAAGCAAGCCATGCATAACGGACATTTGCATTGCCACGGAGTTTTTGGGTGACCACAACCTGCTCTTGAAAAAAGCCAAGTCGATTCAAACCTAAGTCATTTTCCACTGGAGTTTTGCAGATTCCAAAAATGTCCTTTGCATCAATAACTTTGCCCAAACTGTGAAGTAACAAATGCTGCACAGCACTGATTCGCTGGTCATCAGCCGGCCTAACCTTTTCCTGCCAACTTCCTGAAGCAGAGACATTTGGAGGGAGAAATGAACACGGATCATTTTCTCCAACAGTTTCATTGTCTTCAGCACAGGCAGAATTTTCTTCACTCTTGATCCTCTTGACATTAAACATAGCCTCGTCATCGAGTCGTAAACTTGAGCTTTCAGCAGCACTAACAGAAATCTTCAAATGGGCTTCAACTTCACGTGTACCATTTGGATCACAAATCATGTGAACTTGTTTGCCTTTGCCAAAATGATAATGTTCAGGACACACTTCTGGGAAGAAACATTTCCCATCTACATCAATCCAAGCAATTGGTTTCTGTAATCCTGTTTTCAAATCTATGTAAATCATGTGCATAAAGTCTAACAAAAATTGCTGATTCTGAATATCTGCTTCAGTAATTCCTTTCTTTAGACGAAAATCTTCCTGGACCAAACTGATGATATTCTCAGGAAAATCTCTCCATTCACCATCCTCAAAAGATAACACTCTGACCGGCAACCCACTTTTTGAAAAATTGCGATATTTATTAACAATATGGCTCTGAAAACTGCAGCTGAAGTTAGATTTACAACTCATCATGTTGCAGCCCCTTAGAGAGGATCTGTCTGTGATATGCGAATGTGCTACTAGGCCATGGCCACTAGTGAAATATGAATCAGGTTCTCTCTTTCTCTTCAGACTGTGCATAATTCTTTCATTTTTATCCAATACCTTTACGCTCATATCTTCCATTTTTACCCAAGGAAGTGTCTGTTAACCACAGACTAATTCTCTTCAAAGGGCTTGTCTCCACAAAAACAGCCAACCTCACTTAAGGACAATCAATAACTTCCCGTCGAGTTATAGATGGAAAAATTCATGTAACGGTAGACCGACAACAAGCAAGGAAATCCTGGAGCAAATAGAAACAAGCACAATGTTCAACATATTTTTGTAAAGCGTGCTAATAGAATTGCAAAAGCAAAAAGAAATCTTATTGCAAATCAAAGATGCTGCACAAAATAGAATCCAAATTCACGGTGGCAGGCCCAATAACTTAAAATATAAAAGGACCAAACAAGCCTCAAAGTTGTAACTAAAAAATTCTTGACACCAACTCTGAGGATTCACACTCTTCTCTTTGTATTGGAACCACAAGTAGAAAGAAGAATATGCAAAATGTGGCCCTAAAACCAAATGACCAAATCCAAAATAAGCAGAAAACAAACTGTTTTCAGTGAATAAGGGTGTATATCAGTTCTAAACTATTATTAATAAAAATGGACTGTAGACCCAATGGAAGTCCATGTAAAAAAATTTCAATCAGTTCAAGAGTTGTTGTCTTCATGTCCTACTAGATTTTCTGCCTAATCATTTGTATTCATGATATTTTATCCTCATTGACTGGTTTGCGTTTGCTCTCCTGTAATTATTTATCATCTGTTCTTCTGCAGATAAAGTGCTGAGGTGTGCAATGTATTTTGATATTCTTCTTCTGGGCCTACTTCTTCAGTCCTAAGTAGGCTCTTAGGAGTTGCACAAAGAAATATTAGGTGATGGCCCATTAGAGAAACATTCGGTCCTTTGGTCTTTTTGAAAGGAAAGAAAAAAGCTGCATCATCCTTCCATGTGGACCACATAACCCATGAGAAATAATGGCGATACATATGTAATTTATGATTTGTATGACATGCAATGAGAATGTTATATCCTAAGTGAGGGAGTTTGTAACAACCCAATCCGATTAGTACCACATTGATTGTAGGCTTTGGCAAACTTTCAAGTGTTCTTATTTTGGGGGCATCAACCATGTAACTTTTAGGCTAGGTTCATTATGATAGCAATCAAAGGTAATCCTGGTAAGGCTTTGACCCTTACCATGGACTACTTTAATTGTAGCTCTCTAAGTAAAAGTTGGGAACTCTATGTCCTTCATGGAAATTAAAATGAATCTCTACTTATTTTTATTGGATCAAACAATGATGCTACCTTTGAGCCCAGTAACGGTGTATGTAATTTTATCAGCACCAAATTAGATTTTTTCCATGGGGCTATGGCAGCATACACTGCTATCTTCTCTGGGGCTATGGCAGTCTGATCGGGATGCAAATGACTACTGCCATGCTGGGAAAAAAATGAAGGTACTTACGGATTGCTTACATCGTTTTTATAATTGCATAATTTCATTGTCCATGTGTGAGACGTGAAAAGGAGTGAAACTTTTTTCTCTAATGTCAATCTCTTCCCCCATTCTCACAAATTGAATAAGTACTATCTCTGCTAGTCATGAACTTATCCTCTGCCAGATTAGTATCAGTGGTCATCCTACATCATTGTCACTCGGTAACGAACAGAAGATTAAACACTGGCACATAAAAAACACCATAAGTAATATAAATTAGAGGAGGATCGTCTAAAGAATAAGTCAAATTTTCCGGAACTACCATGAATTTTAGAGCCCAGAAGTGTTCCGAGACAAAGAGGGGATCCGACCATGAGTCAAAGGCCTTGTCAACTTGGAAAGTATTGCATTCAAAGACACCTAAAAGGAGGCCACTTAAACTGCAAACCTTATGGCTGTCTTACAGGAAAGATCAAGGACCCCTTGTATTTTGCTGTGTCCTATGAGATTTCAGAAGTGAGATTGCTATTTTTACTTGGATGTCTATCTCAGGGCTGTTACGTCAGTAAATTGATGCAAGTAGCCCTTATGTTCCCTTTGAATCAAGTAGAACATCAGAGTCAATTAACATCTCAAAAAAAGCAATTTACTGACAGAACCATAGAAAAAACCAAAGATCATTTTCCCTAAGATAATTAATCATGTCGATCAACATGATCCTTTTCCCTAAGATAATTAATCATCTCGATCAACATGCATCATGATCAAGCAACAACCAGAACCACCCGACCACTCATTTCCACCCCGATTGCCCCGAGTTCGCACCATGACATCAGAAGAGTACAAAAACCCCTCTCTTAACAGACAAAATCCACCTACAACAACACATTTGAATGAGCAGATCTAGCCCCAGATGTAGAAACAAAAGCACAAATAAGACGAAACGATGGGGATGACACGGAATAAACTTCTCCTACATCAAATTTCATCGTTAATAGATCAAAAAGCGAAAGAACAAACAACAGGATCGGAAAGAACGATCGATACCGTTGAAGGCAAGATAGCACATCTCCGCGACAAGGGCTCTTACTCTCTCTCGCGATCGGAGGGGCCTCGATGTACCAGATCGGCAAAAGGAGAAGAGCAAGAGCAGGTCGGCGGAGGGACGGGCGGCTACAAATAGCGGAACACGGTCAGCGATACGCCGCTTTCTTGCGGCCAAAGAAGTGGAAGAATACTGCGATCTGCCGACCTCCAGCATCCAACGGCCACCGATAAACTTCGCGGACAAAGAATAGTTTTGGATCGATCTCAAGCCGTTGGATGGGGCCCGATATTTTGCCGAGAGTGGGGAGTGGAGCGCTTGTGAAGAAGATGTGGGCAGCGGCACGTGGCAGGCACAGTACGTTTTGGCGGTGTAGTGAGCCGTGGTTCAGCCTCGGGCCGGTTCGAGTTCCGACTTCGACCGGGCGTGCGGTTGACTCGAGCGGAGATTACTTGCAGATTACGTTAGTGATGTACGTGGACGCCATCTTAGACTAATAAAACGAATTCGAGTGTCCAAGTTAATGTAAGATGTCGTCGGCTGGCGGATGATTGTGGATACACGGTTATGTCCCTTTCATTCCCCATCTCAATTGCTTAGCTTTGCATGATACGGGGACATATGTGATTAATGTATGGGCTAATTAGTTAGTTATGTTGGTGTCTCTTCGATACTTTTAAAAATTATATTGGATTCTTTATATTTATTAAAGCAAAATATTTAATTTTATTTTTCTTCTCACCATCAATTCTATTAACAAAAATACCGTACATGTTATTATGTATAAAATATAATATTAAAAATATAATATAATATAATATAATATAATTTTTATAATATTTTTCTTGTTAGATTTTAAGTTTTCCTTATGTAACTTTTATGAAGGTGATTTTCTTCTTCGACTTCTATATCAAGTTTAGACTTAGCTATGGACATCCTTCGACGATCGATCTTTTTATTTTTTTCAAAAACTTTTTCTGCTTCTTTGTTGAGTTTTCTTTTTTGAACGATAAAAATAATATTATAAAATTATCTTTTTAACTCTATTTTAACATGTATTATACATGACAATACATGTCATATTTTCGTCAGCAGAGTCGATGACATGAGGAGAAACAAGCCTAAATATTTTATTTTCATAAGTATAACGAGGACTCAATATAATTTTTGAAAGTGTAAAGATCAAAATGTCAAAGATAATTAACTACTAATTAGTCGATCTCATTTATATCTTTTTGCATTGTGTCAGAATGTGTTATCGTGATTGTTGGAACACTCACGTGATAAAATGCGATAAAAAATGCGATGAATTTTGATTCCAAATTCAGGTGATAAAATGCGATGAAACTAATCGAGTAAAGAAATGTTGGTGTTAGTGATTATTTGTTGCGATAAAAAACACTCATAATGATTTCGAGTGTTTAGTATTAATTTGATAAGTTTAGAATGAAAATATACATGAAAATTTTCATTTTATATATTAGTTGTTTTGATAACTGAGAATTAAATGCCTTAATAAACAAATATTGTGTATAGATATGTAAGTTGATGTATTATTATATACGGATCCATTGGATTTCGTATGTTGTGATTGAATCTTACTCGACGTAGTTAATGAAGAAATATTTTCCGTACATTTCATGTTGGCTTGGCATTCATAATTGATATCTTATTGTATTTGAACTAATTGAATTTGATGATTAGAGTCTAGATTGATTAAGAATAATAATTATATTAAAATAATTCGTATATATTATTAAATTATAATTTATATATTTTAGATTAGATTTAAGCTCTAATTAGTAGTACGATTTCTCTAAAAAAAATTCTCTTTTTTTAGTTTTTTTTGTGCTCTTAATTTTTATTTTTCTATAATTCTCATAATGTCCCTTGTTGTCCCCTATCCACGTCCACCCCACTATGAGGCTTAGACGACTTTTATCATGATGGCTGTCGAGCCCTCTCTCACATTATCTTTCTTTTATCGTCTTTGCTTAACTCTTAATTTCGCGATCGTCATTACCCACTTCTCTATGCATCTATCATCTTAGGATGATTATAAAATCATGATTTTATTATAGAGTATCATGATATAAGAAGACTACGAAATAGAGACGAAGGTCATATGTATTGTGACAGACGATAACGAGTAAGAGAGAGGAGGAGATAGCAAGGACTATGACAAATATGATAAGAAAATGCTTACCAAATGGTTATGAGAGAGAGGCCTTCCATGTTGAAGATGGTGGTAATGCTTAAGGGAATAAAACAATAAGTGAGTTTCATGCAAATGATGCCCGACATGATAGGCTACACAAAGGAGGGAGGGGAAGTCCCACCTGATCCACTTCCTTCCCAGTAATCTCTTCCCATGAAAATGACAAAGCCGATGGGCGATGGAGATGGAGTCGAGCAAAAGCGATCAATAGTGTGGAGTGGAGATGGAGGCAGACAAGGGTAGTAAGCAAGAGCCGTAGGGAATCACACAGAGTGGAGGTGGACGAGGACGAGAGTAGAGACACCAAGTTGACGACGAAGGGCATCATAGATATTATAGAAAATAAGAGTATCAAATTAAAAAAAAATAGAAACTTTTTCATAAAATTCGCCCTTGTTAGTATATCCAACTTAGTAAAGCCCAACCCACTTAATCCCTGAGCCCAACCCACTTAATCCCTGCACAGATCGCCCAACATTGCTATACTTGTATCTTAGTACGTACGAGATGACGGAAGAGCTTGAAAGGGACTCGAGCTTTCTAAACACAAAATACCTACGGATTCCCACTTTGCCCTCCTCTGCCTCTTCTCCCCAGCATCGGCCTCTCCCCCTTCCTCGCACTCCTCTCCCTGCGGAGATCGACGAATGGGATCGCCCGACCGAGATTTTGCGCTCTTGTTTGGTTCATGATCGAGCTTCCAACTCTCGCTGGTCCCGCAAGAGCTTTGTATTTCATGTAAATTCCATAGTTTTTCTCGATCCAACGTCTTCTATGTGTGTCTGGAGATAGTTGTTCCATTACTTTTCGGCTAGATTTCTTTGGATTCCGGTTTTCTTGTTTCGCCACCGGCATTTTTTTGCTCCAGATTTGATGTCTATGGTGCTTTCTTAGGGTTTCGGAACAGTTAGGGTTTTGAAGAGATCTAAGCCGGAATTTAGTGGTTTCGGCTGTTGATCTTCCCAATTTGGTTAGCTGTGCGGAGATATTTGCTTTATGTGATGCTTTGAGAGAGAAACAAGATGGCTTGACAAGAGAAACAAAGGAAAAGAAGAACCAGCGGGAAAAAGAAACATACTAGAGTACGGTGAGGTAGAGGGAGACATTGGACCATGGGAGGCAGTGAAACAGATTGCAAGGGGGCGAAGACTTCAGCCACGCAGGTACTGCATTCCAGTCATACATTTGCTGATAGGGTTGATTTTGACTGTTTAATGTGAATATGAGTTCCCGTAACATCTGTTTGTTCTGGTTTTTCTCATCCCAGGAACAGCCACCGGCCGCAAGCTCCAGCCCTGGCGCTGCAGTCTATCCTGACTGGTCTGGATTTCAGGTGATAACTGGAAATTTCTCGCATCATAGATTTGTGACATTTGAGAACTTCCCAAAAGATCTACGAATTTACTGAAAAACTTGTCTTCAGATGTTATCATGACCTTAAGATTTTTATCTGGCTCAAATAGGCATATTCACCGGTGCTTCCACATGGCTTCTTCCATTCTCCCGTGGTGTCAAGTCCTCAGTCTCATCCTTATATGTGGGGAGCTCAGGTGCCTTTTCTGATTGATATATATATATATATATATATATATATATTTTTTTCCAGTCCTCAATTCTCAGATGCAATGGAGTCCTAGCAGCTGGATTAATCATTTTTGTGTCAATGTACGAGGAGTTCAAATATGGAGGGACATAATCTGAATTTGGAAACTCTGCATGTGATAAAATGATTCTTCTGTCCAACTTTTGTTCATTCCATACAAGGCCAGATATGTCATGGAAGAGAAGAGTTCATTGTGACATGCCATGAATGGCTTGATGAAACAATGATGATGCACATGTAGATATAAACCATCTAGCTTGGAGATAGCTTACTGGGTCAGAGAAGGGACAATTAATCCCCATCAAATATTACAATTTCCTTTGTGTTGATCCCATCACTGGCATTAGTCTATGTGCCAACAGATTATTAGTACAAATTATATTATAGCATGAGACAAGATATTCATAGTTATTGTGTTTGTAGAGAATTTCTTTCGTCTAGGTTGCTTGTACATTGACTAAAGAACCTTGAGAATTTATAGAGAATTATTTATGTTTATAAGGACTAAATATATTCATAATTATTATAACATGAGAAATTTTCTTGTGTTAGGTTGTTAGCCTGAGTGTAAATCTAAAGAACCTAAAGTGGAAAAAATGGAAATGAGTGAATATAAAAGGAGGATAGTGGTATAAATTCACATGGAAGTTAGTTTCTCATGTTGTTGTATCGCATTTATGATACTTCGGTGAAATGTATTTATAATCATTCTTTTCCCTTTGCAGCACCTTATGCCACATTATGGAACACCACCACCTCCATATGTTATGTATCCTCATGGGATATATGCACATCCATCCATGCCACCAGTACGTCTTGTTACAACACAACTAAACCAAGACTTATTCCTTTGAAATTCATGACTTGTTTTCTCCAGTGCAATGCAAGGTTCCACTAACTACTTTTCTGCTGCAATATGTGAGTAGGGTTCTCACCCGTTTAGCCCTTATGCTATGACACCTCCAAATGGCAATGCTGAAGCTTGTGTGAGTTGCCTGCTAACCCACAATGTCAAATCTATTCTTGTCCAGCAGTGGGTACAACTATAGCAAAATCATGAGCCACATGCTTTTGCATCTCACAGGGGAGTGTTCCTGCAAGCACAGGAGGAGATGCAAAATCATCTGAGGGTAAGGAAAGGAATCCAATTCAAAGATCAAAGGGAAGTCTTGGGAGTTTGAATATGATAACAGGAAAGAACAACAATGAGCTAGATAAAGGAGCAGCTAATGGAGTCTTCTCAAGAAGGTTGACTTAATGTCGTGGTTTTTGTTTATCATGATCACGAGGCTCTGCTTTCATCTAACCCTTTTGAGCCTTCGCTTTAAATATTCTTATCATTGATGTGAAGCTA